CCACTGGGGATATGCCCGCAACCAAGGTACATGCCCTTGATCGGAATCGAACCCGGAACCTTTCAGTCCACAGGCCGACGCTCTATCCACTGAGCCTAGCTGGTCCCGCTGTCCTCTAATTTTTAAGTGCACTTGGCAAGCAGTCACTGTACCTTAACGTCACGCATGATGGTGGGGCTCAGTCCCAGGGAGGGCTGGGCTACTGTGACAGCAGCTGCCATTTCTCAAGATCTGTGCTAAGTATTCCTGGTAAACCATTCAAGTGCTCCTTCTTGCAGTCCTGGGGGCTCTGCATTATTTCCAGCCCCATTTCACAAGTGAGAAAACCGAGGGCTAGAGAGGTTAAGTGACATGCCCAAGCCGAGACCGGTTTGGCTCAATGGATAGAGCGTCGGCTTGGGGACTGAAGGGACCCGGGTTCGATTCCGGTCAAGGGCATGTACCTTGGTTGCGGGCATATCCCCAGTAGGGGGTGTGCAAGAGGCAGCTGATTGATGACTCTCTCTCATCAATGTTTCTAGCTCTCTATCTCTCTCCCTTCCTCTCTGTACAAAATCAATAAAATATATTTAAAAAAAAAAAAATAAGTGACATGCCCAAGATCACCTCTGGTAAAGCCAGGATTCTCACCATGGCCTGCCTGACTCTTGACTGAAACCACAACTCTGCCTATTGACTCAGTGGCTACATTTGGCTTACAGTCATTTAGTTTGGCCTACAAGATGTGGGGTGTCTTTTGTTTGGGGTTTGCTTCGGTTTGGTAATTTGGCTGCTTTTTGAGCCAGGTCTGAGTTGTTGCATGGTGACTATCAGCTGGAGTAAGTAGCAGGTGCCCCTTTAGACTGGTTGACGTGGCTCCCACTCAGCCTGGCTTCCCTCATTGCTTGTCCAGCCTATTGTGCTTTTCAGTGTAGTGAGGTGTGAGAATATGTCCCCCTTCTCCCCACTTATGACCGGGGGACAGGTATCTTAATTACTTATGGGGCTGCCTGCCACGGTGAGCCACAGTTCCCTGTGGAGTTTGCTGTTTCTCTATATTGTGCAAGGGAGTAAAGATGAAAAACTTTCATACCCCTGTTTCCCAAAAGTGTCATCTGTGCTACACTAAACTAGAAAGACTGGAATCAAGGTCAGAACTGGGATCAAGTCTTATCTATGCTTCTTACTTAGACAAGCAAGTCGATTCTCCTCTCATTGCCTTGGTTTCCTTCTCTGTAAAATGAGCCTACAGTCCCTGCGCTGCACATGTACCAAGTACAGTGGGCCCCACGGAGAGCATGACGGGAAAGTACTTGTTAAACCAGGAAGATTTCTTGTCTGGCAGAGTTGATGTCCGTGACCAAGCTGGGCATCCCCGTCATCTGGGGGCCTGGTCTTATCCATAGGAGGAGAGGGCCCAGGAAGGGGCTTCCCCACGGCCTGGATACAGTTCATAGAGCAGCTGGGACCACTCTGCCAGGGTAGCCCTTTCCTCCTCGTCTACCTGGCACTTCCCTCGTGGAGCTGGACTAGCCTGGCCCATGTCTATCCTCCAACCTTCCCACCTCGTGGCAGCTGCTAGAGGGTTCAGGGCTCAACTGGTTCTATAAAAGGACCATCTCATAAAGGCAAGTAATCAGGGAGATGCAGTGAATCTAACCCGCAAGGGCTTATGTGTTTCAGAGGTATGATTTGTTCATTTACTGAACAGAGTTCATTTAGTATTTGCTCTGCGCTAGGCCCTGTGCTGGGTGCTTGAGGTGAGCAGGCGCCCGCAGACAGGGCTGTTTGTGGCCGAAGGAGCCGCATTGGTCCAAGCTCGGGGTGCCTGAGGGATGCAGTGGATGGTGAGCCTGGAACGGGATAAGGACTTTGGGCTTTGTCTTGTAGTAGCAAAGAGCCATTGAAGTTGTTTGACAGTGCCTAGGGAGGTGCCATGAGCTCATGGGAGGAGGAGCAGGAGGATGAGAGTGAGCTTAATCTGGATTGTGTTGGGTGTGGGTCTGTGGAGTATTCAGTGGTTACCACCTGGTAAACAGCTGTAAGAACTTGCATTCAGGCCCTAACCGGTTTGGCTCAGTGGATAGAGGGTAGGCTTGTGGACTGAAGGGTCCCAGGTTTGATTCCAGTCAAGGGCATGTACCTTGGTTGTGGACACATAGGGGGTGTGCAGGAAGCAACTGATCAATGTTTCTCTCTCATCCATGTTTCTAACTCTATCCCTCTTCCTTCCTTTCTGTAAAAAATCAATAAAATATGTTATAAAAAAAAAAAAAAAAGAAGAACTTGCACTCAGGAAAGTTCTGGGCTAGGATCAGAGATCTGAGTGGTCAGTAATTAGGTGATAGTTATAGAGGAGTGACTGAGTAGAACCATGAGAGGGATTGGGGAAGTTAAAAAGTGGAGTGGCTCAAGCGGCTGCCAGGCTTGGAGCGGCCAGGCCCGGGGGAGCAGCCGGGTCGGGTGCGGCCAGGCCCGGAGCAGCGGCTGCCAGGCTGGGAGCGGCCAGGCCCGGGGGAGCAGGCGGGTCGGGTGCGGCCAGGCCCGGAGCAGCGGCTGCCAGGCTGGGAGCGGCCAGGCCCGGGGGAGCAGGCGGGTCGGGTGCGGCCAGGCCCGGAGCAGCGGCTGCCAGGCTGGGAGCGGCCAGGCCCGGGGGAGTAGCCGGGTCGGGTGCGGCCAGGCCCGGAGTAGCGGCTGCCAGGCTGGGAGCGGCCAGGCCCGGAGCAGCAGCAGCCAAGTCCGGAGCAACTAGGTCGGGAGCGGCAGTGACCAGACCCGGAGCAGCTGGTTGTGGAATGAACCAGAGCAACAGAGGCCAGGCACTGAGCAGCCAGGCCCAGAACAGCTCGCTCCTTGCCTGCCCCTGCCCTACGGCTGCTTCTCAGACATGGCTGGAAACTTTCGTGGGAACTTGAGGGTCTGCTGAATCAAGTGATGAAGGCTTAGATCTGGATGTGTTGAGTTAGTTTAGGACTGGGGTGTTGTTCTGTGAGTGCCTTGGGTGGGGCCTGGATGAGGCTGGTTGACCTAGTGGGAAATGTCTTTTGTGTGAAGTGTATCATTGGGCATGTGGAGGTATTATTGATATGAGAAAATGCTAAGTAACTGATTTACTATCTGAAAAGGGATTTACTATTGGGGAAATTGAGGGAAGAAGAGACTGAACATAAACTGCACCTATGGATGAGGACAATGGGGGATGGGGGGGGGACGGAGGGTGGGGTGGGAACCTGGTGGAGGGGGGAAGAAATGAGGAACCTTTGTAATAATATGAACAATAAAGATTGTTTTAAAAAAAAAAAAAAAAAAAAAAAAAAAAAAGTGGAGTGGCTCAGTCCTCAGGTTACAAATGAGCAAATGGGGGCCAAAGGAAAATCATAAGGTCTCAGTAGTAAGTGTTATTCATCCATTCATTCAACAGATATTTATTGAATACCTACTATGTGCTAGACAGTGGTTCTCAACCTTTCTAATTCTGTGACCCTTTAATACAGTTCCTCATGTTGTGGTGACCCCCAACCATAAAATTATTTTTGTTGCTACTTCATAACTATAATTTTGCCACTGTTATGAATTGTAAGTATCTGTGTTTTTCGAGGGTCTTAGGCGACCCAGCTAGGCGGTTGTGACCCACAGGTTGAGAACTGCTGCTCTAGAGCCTAAAACCATCGGAAAACACAGATATTTACATTACGATTCATTAACAGTAGCAGAATTACAGTTATGAAGTAGCAATGAAAATAATTTTATGGTTGGGGGTCACCACAACATGAGGAACTGTATTAGAACCTTTTTTTTTTAAAAAAAATATATATTTTATTGATTTTACACAGAGAGGAATTGAGAGGGACAGAGAGTTAGAAACATCAATGAGAGAGAAACATCGACCAGCTGCCTCTTGCACACCCCCTACTGGGGATGCGCCCACAACCAAGGTACATGCCCTTGACCAGAATCGAACCTGGGACCTTTCAGTCCGCAGGCCGACGCTCTGTCCACTGAGCCAAACCGGTCCCAGCATAGAACCTTTTTAAAGGCTGGGATATATCAGTGAGCAAAATACTCATGGAGCTTACATTCCTGTAGGTGGATTCCGAAAATAACTAAATTTGTCAAATGGTAGTAAATGCTCTGGATGAAAGTAAAGCAGAAGGAAACCAGGAGCACTTCTCGGTGATGGCTATTTTATATGGAGTGGTCCAGGCCTCACTGATACAGTGACATTGAGCTGAGACCTAAAAGAAACAGAGAAGGGATCCGGCAGGTGCCTGAGGGAAGAGTGTTCCAGAAAGGGAATAGCAAGGCAAGACCCGGAAGCAGGAGTGTGCTTGGCATATGGAAGGAAGAGCAAAGAAGCTGATGTGGCTGGAAGACCAGCGAGCACAAGGGATATGGGTGACGGGTAGGGGAGAGATCAGGGGGGGCCACGCAGGCCGCTGTAAGGGTTTTCCTCTTGAGAGGGGAAGCCTTCAAAGGTTTTGGCTGGGATGACATGATCTGACGTACATTTAACACTATTCCCCTGCTGCTGTGTTCAGAACAGACTGCAGGAGGTGAGGGTGACGCAGGAAGGCCAGTTACAAGGTGATTCCTGTGGCTGGAACCAGTGCTCCCGGTAGAGGGGCTGAGAAGTGGCTGGGCTCTGGGAATGTTTTAATGATAGAGCCAATGGAGCTTGCGATGGATTGATTATGTGAGAAAACAAGAATGCCTCTTAAGATTTTGGCCCAAGCAATGGGAAAGATGGAGTTGCCATTGGGTAAGATCGTGTGAAGGGCAGAATTGAGGGGAGAAAAGGGAGGTGAGTGTGGATAGGTGACATCAGAGCTGCCCTGTGACACCGACAGAGATTTGGGGGGGGAGGGGCAGTACCAGCAGCATGAAGCCCATCCCCCTCCTTCCAGATTCTTCTTCCCTAGGTCCCTCCCTCTGGGCCCACCTTCCGAAGTCTCCCTCCCCGGCAGTGGATCTGAGCCACAGCCGCCTGCCCACACTGAGAACTGACCGCCCTCTGCCCCCAGGTTGTGCATCGGGACCTCAAGCCCAGCAACATCCTCTACGTAGATGAGTCTGGGAACCCCGAGTGCCTGCGCATCTGTGACTTTGGCTTCGCCAAGCAGCTGCGGGCCGAGAACGGGCTCCTCATGACGCCCTGCTACACGGCCAACTTCGTGGCGCCTGAGGTGAGCACCAGACCTCCTCAGCTGCGAGTGAGGACGTGCAGTCCTTGTGGCCTTGGCCCAGGACCAAGGGAGGGTCCAGCCCACGGCTGGAGCCCCCGTCCTCCCCTTTGGGGAGTAGCAGGCAAGCACTGGTCACTGCCTCTCAGACTGACCACACTCCCCTGCCCTCCTTCCTGCCAGGTGCTGAAGCGCCAGGGCTACGATGAAGGCTGTGACATCTGGAGCCTGGGCATTCTGCTGTACACCATGCTGGCGGGGTGAGTGCCCACTACCCAGCCCCATTGGACAGGCGGGGGTGGTGCTTGCCCTGCCTCAGGAAGGTCTGGAGGTAGGGACGTGGCCCTAGCTTTGGACGCTACACCTTGAGGAGAAAGATGCTGCCTTTGGGAACACCCAGCCTGAAGGGGGAGACACAGCCCTCCACCCCTAACCCCGGGATGGGGTCCAGAGGCAATACCCTCACTGGGCGGGCTTTTCTCCAGGTACACTCCATTCGCCAACGGACCCAGTGACACCCCCGAGGAAATCCTGACCCGGATCGGCAGCGGGAAGTTCACCCTCAGCGGGGGAAATTGGGACACAGTTTCAGAGACAGCCAAGGTGAGTCTGAGCTGGGACCCAGCTCATTTGGGGTGGGGAGGCAGGGACCATCCTAGGGCTTTTTAGCAAGTCATGAATAGGTGACCCGAAGCCTCGTTTTTCCAAGTGGAAGATTGATTCCCAGGCTGCCTGCCTACACACACACACACACACACACACACACACACACACACCTTGTTTGGTCAACTGGGTAATCATTCAGTGGCTTTTCTGGTGTTCTGGGCCCGCAGGGGACAGAGAGCTGTGATTGTGCCTTATGGGGACTTGCTGTGTGGGAGATACAGGCTTGCATATAAGGAACAGAGATGTCAGGCAGTGGAGAGAGTGGGTCTTTCTGGCCAGGTGTACAGGCCATGGAGGCACGGAGCAGAGCTCCTGACCGAGGCCTCCTCAGAAGAGGGAACGTTTGCGCTTTCAGTGTGAGCAAGTTTGCCCTTACGGCACCTCTGTGCTGGCCCCTGGTGTGAGCGGTACACCTCACATCAGCCTGATGAGGCAGGTCTTGTTGTTGCTCCTGTTTCTCAGAGGGGACACTGAGGCCCAGAGAGTTGAAGTAAATTGCCCAGGATACTCAGTTGAGCAGAAGAGTCACATTTTGAAACTGAGTCGGCTCAACCCCAACCTTAGGTTCTTCCCACCTTCCTGCGTGGCTCCCAGAAGATGCAGAGAAAAGAAAGGGAAGAAGTTCCAAACAATGGCCTGTGCTCAGGGAGGCCCTGGAGCAGTGGGGAGGGGCCTGTGCTCAGGGAGGCCCTGGAGCAGCGGGGAGTGGATCGCAGGGAGGGGCTCCTGCAGGGTTCAGACAGGAGGGGCTGTGTCTCACTGATGGTGATGCCCGTTCCCCGTCAGTGAGACACAGCTGTATGCTCTCCTGCTGGCCCCTCCCACCAACCCCCTTGCCCACTGTGCCCCCAGGACTTGGTGTCCAAAATGCTACACGTGGACCCCCACCAGCGCCTCACAGCTAAGCAGGTCCTGCAGCACCCATGGATCACCCAGAAGGACAAGCTTCCTCAGAGCCAGCTATCCCATCAGGACTTACAACTTGTGAAGGTATGGTCACCCCAACCGGGCATCCAGGACCCAAGGCAAGTTTTCCTGGGCAAGGACGTGCGGTGGCAGGGTCAGGAGATGCCATGTCTGTCTGTCCTGGAGCCCAGGTCTAACATGCAGAGGTGTCAACAGCGCACTCCCAGGCCTCCGGGGGTCACAGCCCCTCACATCTGATGTAGGAGGCAGGACCAAGGCTGGATTAACGGGGCTGGGCGGCTGTGGAACACTGGGAGGAGCAGGCCTTCCCTGGAGCACATGGCCCTCCTCCCGCCTGTACCTCCCTGTCATCGTGAACTAACCTCCTGCCCTCTCTCCCAGGGCGCCATGGCAGCCACATACTCTGCACTCAACAGCTCCAAGCCCACCCCTCAGTTGAAGCCCATCGAGTCATCCATCCTGGCGCAGCGGCGGGTGAGGAAGCTGCCGTCCACCACCCTGTGAGGGGCCAGGGCATCCAGGCTGCAGGGGCAGTGCTGGCCCGATGGAGGCATCTTCCCGGGGAGAGCAGGCCTGAGCACAGGACCAGAGGGAGCCGAGCCCCGCGGGGCCCCGCGGGAAGCAGCCGGCCCAGATCACCCCAGCGAGGGTGTGAGAAGTGCCTTCTCCTTTCCGAGGACGGACTCTTCTCGGCTCCGGCTCTGCTGGTTGAAATCGATTCACTGTACAAACTCTTATTTTTTTTTTAAGGAAAAAGGACATCAGCCACCATGGATTTTTACAAGATCCGTTTGCCTTTCTGGGAGCAGAAACAGCCCCGTGCAGCCCCCCAGGAGGGGCAGAGTCACACTCGGGCTCTCTGTGGCTGAGACTCCTTAGAGAGTTTTGCGGTCCTACCCTGGGGACCCCACGATTGGCCTCGGTAGCCATCTGCACCCGCCTCCGAGGCAGCAGCTTCCAGAGCCTTTGACTGTTTAGCAGGACTTGCTCTATCCCCAGTCAGCTTTCTCCATGCTGTTCTGCTGGGGCGTCTGGAACCACTTCGTGCTAGAGGAGAGGACCAAGGCCCCATGGCGCTCAGTTCCAGGCACCAGCATCCACATCAGCCCCAGCAGTGGGTCCCCTGCAGTTAGGATGGCCGCTCTCAGAGGAGGATCCGGAATGCACTTTTTGACTGGCTCCTGTTGGAATCTGCCACGGACAGAGCACACAGGAGGCCTGTGGGGCGGGCCAGGCGGGCAGGGGCTTTTTTCATTTCTTCCTCAGCTGGTAACTCAGGGTTCATCTGTCCATGGCCTTTCTAATAAACCTACAGTTGAGTTGAAGCACGCTTGCCTCCACTTTTCACCCCTGAATGTGCCCCCTCTCTGCTGTCAGAAGGTGAGGGCTTTGGCAGTAACCGACGAGTACTGGACTAGGGCTGATTAGCCCAGCTACTGGGAAAGCATGTGGAGTCCGCTGGCCCTGCCCTCACGTTCCTGCCAGGGGGTTTCGTTATGCTGTTGATAACAGTAATGGAATTATTAGCCATCGGTTGGAGACCAAGTGCCAGACACTGTGCCTGGGCCTTACCTGTAATCTCATTTAATCTTTTTTAAAGATTAAATATATTTTTATTGATTTCAGAGAGGAAGAGAGGAGAGAGAGAGAAACATCAATGATGAGAATCATTGATCAGTTGCCTTCTGCACGCCCCACACTGGGGACCGAGCCCACAACCCCAGGCATGTGTCCTTAACTGGAATTGAACTCGGGACCCTTCAGTCCGCAAGCTGACACGCCATCTGCTGAGTCAAACCAGCTGGGGCTAAATCTCATTTAATCTTTTTTTTTTTTTTTTAATATATTTTAATATATTTTATTGATTTTTTACAAAGAGGAAGGGAGAGGGATAGAGAGCCAGAAACATCGATGAGAGAGAAACATCAACCAGTTGCCTCTTGCACACTCCCTACTGGGGATGTGCCCGCAACACTCACTCTTGCACACTCCCTACTGGGGATGTGCCCACAACACTGCCTCTTGCACACTCCCTACTGGGGATGTGCCCGCAAGGTACATACCCTTGACTGGAATCGAACCTGGGACCTTTCAGTCTGGAGAACAACGCTCTATCCATTGAGCCAAACAGGTATTGGCTATCTCATTTAATCTTAACCCTGTGAGGTAGATGCTAATTTATCCCTGTTTTATAGATGGAAAATCTGAGGCTCAGAAAGGGAATGACATTGCTTTGTGATAAACTTCTTCTGAGAACCTTCTGCCCTGCTTCAGGTGCTGGTGAACCCAGTAGAAAGCAAGGCCATTTGTCTTTCCTCTGGTGAGGAACCTCCGAGTGGAAAACGGACCATTAGTAAACCAAGGTCAACTACCGTTCAGACATACAGTGTGCAGAGTTAAATTGGGATGGTCAGGGAAGGCCTCTCGGAGGACATGACCCAGAAACTAAGATCTGAGTGATGAGAAGGGGCCAGCCAAGACCAGGAGGCAGAGGGCCGAGTCGGGACAAAGGCTCCCAGGGAGACAGGCGGGCCTTGCTAAGGAAGCAGACGCTGATGTGGCTGTGATTGCACAGAAGTTAGGAAGGGGGCATCATTCTAGGTTTTTCAGACCAGGTAAGGGGTTAGGGTTTACTTCTAATTGAGATGCAAGGCCTAAAAGAAAAGTAAGCAGGAGAGTGACATGTTTGATTTACTTTTTTAAAAGATCATGCTGAAACCAGTTTGGCTCAGTGGATAGAGCGTTGGCCTGCGGACTGAAAGGTCCCAGGTTCGATTCCGGTCAAGGGCATGTACCTTAGTTGCGGGCACATCCCCAGGAGGGGGCATGTAAGAGGCAGCTGATCGATGTCTCTCTCTCATCAATGTTTCTAACTTTCTATCCCTCTCTCTTCCTCTCTGTAAAAAATCAATAAAATATATATATTTTTAAAATCGCTCTAACTAATGTGTAGAGAATTGATGGGGATGAAGGCGGTGGGCAGGAAGACAAGGTCAGTAGCTCAGACAGTGTTTGGAGATCAAGCAGAGAACACTTGCTGGCAGTTTGGGTTAAGAGGCTAAGAGGAAAAGGAGGTTAATGGATATCTTGTAAATTTTTTTTTTAATTTCGAGATTTTTGGCTTGAGCAGGTAAGTACTGAGGGAGAAATTGGGGAAAGCAGGTTTGAGAACTCTGTGGGAGATGTCTTTATATATATCTTAAGTTAATCCTCACTCAAGGATACTTTTTCCATTGCTTTTCAGAGATAGTGGAAGGGAAGGGAGGGTGGGGGCAAGAGGCAGAGGAGAGAAACATCAATGTGAGAGAGGCACATCAATTGGTTGCCTCCTGCACGCACCCTGACCAGAGTGGGGATAGAACCTACAACCCAGGTACATGCCCTTGACCGAGAATTGAACCTGTGACCCTTCAGTGCAAGAGCTGACACTCTAACCATTGAACGACACTGGCCAGGATTGGAGATGCTTTTTAAATATCTTCCAACTAAGAGTAATGAGAAGTCGGAGTTCTGGAGAGAAGGCTGGATTGGAAGGGTAAATTTAGGAGTCATTGGTTTGGAGAAACAAGAGGCTGGGCTTTGCAAAGTATGGTCAGTGGGCCAGCAGTATTGCTATTATAGTATCTGCAGCTTGTTAGAATGCAGAGTCTCAGACCCATGCTCAGCCCTGCCTATAGGTAGAATCTGTATTTTAACAATCTGCATGTGACTTGTGTGTACGTGAAAGTTGAGAAGTGCTATTGTAGGGACTGAGAACAGAGAAGAAAAGGGGAACAGTGCCGGGACCGGTTTGGCTCAGTGGATAGAGCGTCAGCTTGGGGACTGAAGGGTCCCGGGTTCGATTCCTGTCAAGGTCATGTACTTTGGTTGCAGGCATATCCCCAGTAGGGGGTGTACAAGAGGCAGCTGATTGATGACTCTCTCTCATCGATGTTTCTGACTATCTCTCTCCCTTCCTCTCTGTACAAAATCAATAAAATATATTTAAAAAAAGGGGGGGGGGGGGGGACAGTGATTGAGTCCCGGAGCATTTAAAGGCAGTACCCCAGGCCTGGCCTGAGTGCTCAGTGGTTAGAGCATAGGCCCACGCACTGAAGGGTCTTGGGTTCAATTCTTGGTCAAGGGCATGTACCTCCGTTGCAGGTTTGATCCCTTGCCCTGGTCATGGCGAATGTGAGAGGCAACCAATCAATGTGTCTCTCTAATGTCAATGCTTCTCTCTTTCTCTCTCCTTCCCCTCTCCCCGCCCCCCCCCCTCTCTCCCTCTCCCTCTTCCTCTCCCTCTCTTCCTTCCTCCCTCCACTCTCTAAGAACCAATGGGAAAAATATCCTCCAGGATTAACAACAACAAAAAAGACAGCACCCCAGGGGCCCTGGCCAGGCAGCTCGGTTGGTTAGAGCATCATCCCCTATACTCCAATGTTGCGGGTTCGATCCCCTGTCAGGGCACATTCAACCAATGAATGCATAAATAAATGAAACAACAAATTCAGGCTTATCTCTCCCTCTCTGTCTCTCCTCCAAAATCAATATTAAAAATATAAAAATAAAGACAGCACTCCAGGAGGGAGAGCTAGCAGGAGATTGCACTGTGAGAGTGAGGAACCAATCTGGGAAGATTCAAAATCTTAAGGCCCAGATCCTTTGCTCCTGTTATTTCTCAATCTACACTACAGTTTAGAAAGCCAGGGCCTGAGACGTGAATACATCCTGTAAGGGAAGGAGATCCTGACACGAGAGGCTCAATTTCAGAGCTGACGTAGGTATGAAGATTCTGAGCCAGTGACCGCCTCACAGGGACAGGGGCTGAAACCCCACTGCTATACACAGTTCTGAGCCCCTGACTTGAGCGTATTATACTTCTCTGAGGCTCAGTTTACCTCTCTGTGCAGTGAAGCCAACATTTCCCGTCACACCCACCACCCAAGGTTGTCTACGCTGGACCCCAGCTGGAATCCTGAGCATCATTCCAGACTCTCCCGTACTTCCCACACTCAGTCTGCATCCGGGCCCCATCAGTTTTTGTCTCCTAAATATTTTTGGCACTCATCCCCTCCTCTCCTTCCTCCTTGTCATAGGTTGTGTGTTTTTTGCCACTACCTTTCTGACTCCATCTTTTTTTTTTTTCATACACTGTTTATTTATTTATTTATTTTTAATCAATCTTTATTGTTCATATTATTACAAAGGTTCCTCATTTCTTCCCCCCTCCACCAGGTTCCCACCCCACCCTCCACCCCCTCTTCATCCCCCATTGTCCTCATCCATAGGTGCACAGTTTATGTTCAGTCTCTTCCTCCCTCCCTTTCCCTTTCAGATAGTAAATCAGTTACTTAGCATTTTCTCATATCAATAATACCTCCACACGCCCAATGATACACTTTACACAAAAGACATTTCCCAATAGGTCCACCAGCCCCATCCAGGCCCCACCCAAGGCACTCACAGCCCTATACTAACTCAACACATCCAGATCTAAGCCTTCATCACTTGATTCAGCAGAC